GCAGGTGCCTTTCGGCTGCATCCTCGCCGCCTCGCCTCGCCCTCCAGCCTCCCCATCGTCTCCCGCACCCCTCCCCGTCCCCTCTCTCCCTCCTTCCCGTGTGCCCTCGGGACCCGCCGAGCCGCCAGACCCGTCCTCTGGGCCCTTTCGGAGCCCCAAACCCACCCGTGGGCCCCGGGAAATTTCCCTGAGCTCGCTCAGGCACCCACCACCTCTGTCACCTTGTACTTTACACCGGGCTGCTGGGCATCCCCTCGGGATGGGGGAGGGAGGGAGGGAGGCCCTGCTCAGAGAGCTGCACGGAATATGTGTTGCCTTGATTTATTTCTTTTTTTGTTCTTCTCGTCATCTTTGAAATAAGTTGGTTTTGAGAAGGATGATGTCTTTTCTGTTTGTAGAACTTATACACAACACAGCGTTTCTTCTTTGAATGCAGGTGATTCACCAAATGACCAAAAAAGCCCTGAAGAGGGGCCTAAGAAGAAAAGAGAGAAAAAGTCTGAAGCCCTGAACATCAGAGGTACAGCATGGGAGTACACTGCTAATATTATATTAACTTTAAACACTTTCTGGTTTCCATTTCAATTTTTTTTTTTTTTTTTTCCAAATGTCTATAAGAAATGGAGCAAAAGCACAGGACTCTCATAGGTATATGGCCCCTGTTATCTTTGGAAGATTTTGGTTGTATGAACTAGCATAGAGAATAACAAAATAGTGTGATGCTGAATTGGCTCTGAGTGTGTTTACATTTTGATTTTAATCCTTTAGAAGAGTGCAGCTGAACTTTTTGGAATGGAGAAAAAGCCTCTTGCACTAGGCACAAGTCACTAGAGGCCTTATAGGAAGGTAAAGCAGGTATCTATGAGGTGCTTCTTTGAGTGTCACTGCTGTAGTAGTTGAGCAGTTTTCAACTTTAAAATGCTTTTGGGCTGAAAACAGTATTTCTTGAGATTCTGAGGTTAACAATGTTTGTAGTCAACATGAGGAAAAAGGTGCTGAAGCTGGTGCTTCAGCACGGTGTTCTTCCAGGTCCTTGAACTGTGAACCTGTTAGTCTGTGACAGTATCAGCACTCCCTGCGTTGTAATTCGGCAGGTCTCTGGATATCTGCAGAGTGAAACTGTATGGCTCCTTCTAGGAATACATTAACCAAGTGTCTCTCTCCCTATGTTTACATACCTATTTTGAGCAAAGCCAAAAAAAAGGTATCTTTTAGTATATTAAACATTGAGTTTGTCCCTCAAGGAGAGGGCTGTCAGAAAGCTGGCTGAAACAGGATGGTAGTTGCAGGCTTCTTATGGTCACCTGTCGGCATCTGGTATCCCTCCAAAGTTGTGTAAGTTGGTATGACATGAATTCAGTTTAGAGATCAACAGTCATGCACCTAGGGTTTTTTTTGGTGTGTGTCTGTCTACTTGTCTTCCAAAAGTGTTTTCAGAGTTATACAGATGTGTCTGTAAGGGAAGCCACTTTGGAAATCAAACCATGTGCTAGAACCACAATGCTTTCCTGAATGTGTAGAAATTGGTGTAACTGGATGTTATGGCACTGTAGTAGTAAGGTTATTGCAGCAGGAAAGCAACCTGTCACTTTCAGGGATGGAGGAAAGAAGGATAAGAAACTGATGAGTATATTTTGGAGAAGACCTTACTTGCCTGAATGACAGTGTTTGGGCATAATGATGCTGGAAACTTTCAAAAGTATCTGAAGGATAAGGAGTTTTATATTAGTTATTTTAAGATGCCTGCCTTTGATTTTTAAAAAGAGAGTTTTTCTCTCAGTGCTGCTTTAACTTTAGTATGTTATCTTTGCGAAATCTAATTTTATTGTCCCTACAAATATTCCTTGCTTCTTTAGCCAATGTTACAGATACATGTCTTTAAAATTCTGATTGGCAATCTATGTTTTTCTTTGCTGCTGTAGGTTAGTTACATAGCTATACTTCATAATCACTTGGCAAAAAATTTTGTACATTATGGAATCAGAGCCTCCCTGAAAAACATGGCTGGACAAAATGGATTGGCAGAGAAATCAGTTTCTGTGTGTTTAAAAGTGATAGGAACAGGAATCCAGACATTCTGCCTGAGTGGGTTAATTATTGTAGTGTAAAAATATTCCTTTTACTTCTTGAGCATATGCAGAGTAGTTCAGACTTTCCAACACAAGCTGTTGGAAACTACACATTATCTATGGTCTTACCATACTAACCTTATTTACTAAAAATTCCATAGCTTTTGGGGGTCTATAGGGAAATGAGTTCATTTCTGTCTGGGCCCTCATTGTATGATGCGTAACCAAGTTGTACATATTAACAATGTTAATAGTGTAAAAATAAGCATTTTTGAAATTCCATGTTCTTACATGCTTACTTTTTTCTTTCTTAATTCAAAGGAAGACTTTCTGAAACACTTTCTTGTTCTTTTTCAACTGTGTTCTCTAGTTAGTTGCCTTGGCAATTCCATCCTGCCTGTCCCTCTTGGTGTAATAGCTGATAGCCCATGCTGAATCAGGATTATTTGTAAATGAAAAGGAAACACTGCAACACTGTTAGGAGGAGTAAAGCCCTGTGGGAGTCTGCCAAATGGGGCAGAACATGCCTGACTCCAGTAGAAAGTGCTGCACTCACTGGAAGTTTGTACTTTCTTATCTGGACCAAGTGATTCGGAGAAACTCCAGTAGTTATTGCCTTCATTTCTCGCACTGAAAATCAATGTTCATGCAAAGAGCTGTCAAGAAACAGCAGCACAGGCATGGCTCTGGGTCTAATCCAGTGTCCAGCATCTTCAGGGAGTCAAAACTCTTTGCTGTTAGTGAGTTTCAGAGGGAGCCTTTTACAGCTTCTCCAGCCCAGAGGAAGTGATTAAATTGGAGTGAAGCTCTCGAAAGTACTTGTCATAGGGATGTCAAAAGGAGATGGTCCGTTTTACTCTCTCACAGGCTCTGAATAAAAAGTATTGGCAAAAAAATTAACTTTGTATATTTAGAGATGTTATGAATTAGGCATGGGTTGGAATGAAATCTGAGTCTGAACAGTAAAGACTGACAAAACTGGAGTGCATTTGAACAATGATGGGAAGAGGGAAGATTATGTAAAGTAGTGAGAGAAAAAAAAAAGAAAGAAAGAGTTCTTAGATTATTGTAACTTTATAGCAAGAAGACCACTTTGGTCATTGTAGTTGAAAGGACAGCTTAAAAACAGGTTATTATAAGAGCCTGTTTTTTGTGTCTGCCTTTTGTGTAAAAACATATCTATAGATGTAAAAAGTGGTACCCAGCGTTCCTCAGTTTAGAGTAGTCCAGGCACGTATTAAACCATGGTGTCCATGTGACTAACTATCAAACAAGAGTATGATTTATTTATTTCCCCCCTGCCCTGGGTCTGAGGGCTAGTAGTGTTGGTAGGACAAGGTTTTATAAGACTAGTAATGATCAAACAATTGGAGTTTGAGGGCGTTTGGACGCATAGGAACAGGCTTAGGTTTCACTTAGGTAATTTTTCAGATTTCTACAGTGTCATAGAAACTGATGGAGGAGAATAACTGTTCCTGGGGGTGATCTGTGGCTCTCTTAGCTTCCAGGGAGGAACAGATAGATTTAGTCATCAATTTTTAATTGAGATTTAATGTACCAGGATCTCTTAATAATCTGCAGGCATTTAAGCAAACACATTTTACGTTGCCATGGCATTGCTGTTGGACCGCAGTTGCTAGCACACCCTACATATTTAATAACGCATCCCACTTAAGCAGCTGTGGTTCAGAGTCAGTAGTTCTCTTGGCTGTTTTGTTCTGAAAGCTGTTATTGAAAACTTTGGTTATGATGCTAGTGCTTGGAATATTGCATTTTTCATGTCAAATAGAACAGACTTGAGAAATGCAGCTTTATTTGCCTCCCCCCCCCCCAAACCCCCAAAACACAAAAAAAAAAAAAAAAACCAAAACCAAACAAACCAAAACAACCACTAATAGAAATTGTGCTATTTGTTTCAGGTGTTCTTTTGCATGTTATGGGAGATGCACTTGGATCTGTGGTCGTGGTAGTTGCTGCTACAATCTTCTATGTGCTTCCTCTGGGGAATGCTCCATGTAATTGGCAGTGTTACATTGATCCAAGCCTGACAGTAATTATGGTGTTCATCATCTTGTCTTCTGCGTTCCCGCTTATCAAGGAGACCTCAATTATTTTGTTGCAGATGGTTCCCAAAGGTGTTAATATGCAACTACTGAGTAAGTAAAATTCGTTGTTGAAAAGCTCTTAATTTTAATTATCTATTTCAATGCATATATTATTTCTGGAATTACATGTTTGGATTATTTACTCATAATAACTCTAAATTCTCAAGAACTGTGAGAAATAGTCACATGCCTGTGTCCTAGCAACATGAGTCAAATCTCTCTGGATTAGTTAAAGCATGCATTTTGAGAATGTGGTATTCTAACAATACATCAAAAATACCAGGCCTTGAGCTGTTAATGCTTTGTGCGGGGTGTTTGTGGAAAAAAAAAACCCAACCAAACCAACACTGAATTACAATATTTCCCAACCCTGCAGTGACTTCTTCCAAAACAGCTTAGAAATTTCCATTAAGGTTGGTTAATTTTGTAGCTCTTTAGCGTTGTTCACACTGGTTAATTGTGGGCTAGCACTGGTTATTTTTGGAATTCCACCATGCTCAGAGCTAAAGAAACCAGAAGTCTGGGGTCTTGGGCAAGGAAGTGCTGTTCTAATATTGCTTCTGTGAACAGCTGGTAAATTGCCATTAGGAAGCCTGAGGGATGAGGTGAACCCAAAAGGAAGGGTGGCCTGCTTGTGTGGTCATCTGGAGGCTGAACAGAAGGCAGCTGGGAGTAGGCATATTTTACTAAGTACAGCTCTTTTTAAAAAGATAGTTTGGAAACTGCTGCTTTCAGGTAGGGCTCTTAATGGGAAAGCTAGTTGTTAGTCAGTGCAGCAAAGCCTCTAATATCTTTCTCTTATGTCTTCCAGCTGACAGACTGGCTTGTGTACCAGGGGTTAGCAGCCTTCATGAGGTGCATGTTTGGGAGCTTGCAGGTGGGAAGAATATTGCTACTCTTCATATCAAGTGCCAAACCCCTACTGATTACCAAGATGCTGCTTATAAAATACGGAAGGTTTTCCATGAAGCAGGGATCCATTCTGTGACCATCCAGCCTGAATACACTGACCACAAGACCACCCAGCTACTGTGCAGCTCACCCTGCATCTCAAAAGCTTGTGACTCTCAGCTGTGCTGCAGTCAGCGGGACTCCCCCCTGGCTAAAACTAATGGCTATACTGAGAAAAATGATAGTTGCCTTCCTGCACTGCATAAAGACAATGGCTCAAGTAAAAATGATATTGAAATCCCTATCGAGTCCCCATTGGCAGAGGATAGTGTTAAAAATGTGAAAAATTGTGGCGTGTCTAAACAATCACAGTTGAGCAGTACGCGGCTTTAGGCAATTCCCCCTACTCTGTCTTCATAGAACAAACGTATCCTGTCTGGGAAGGGGGTCATCGGCGGTTGTAGCTGAAGTTGGTGTGGCAAAGAGACTTCTGTGCTTTAGCTGTAAACCAAAATACACCTAAAAACCCCGTTGTATCTGAAGTAAGGATTAACATTTCCACAAAGGGTGTTTGCATTCATCTAAGACTTTTTTTCTGATACATCCTAACCCAGTTCCTTACCAAACAAGGTGTGAATTTCTGTTGTTAGAGTGGATGAGGTGTATTGCTGTCTGCACTGATGCTTGCAGTTAATGGCCAGTGGCACTGGGAATGAAACTCTGGCCTTTTCTGCTGAAGTGAGCTGTTTCCTGAAAGCCCTGTGGCCAGTTCATGATTGTACTGGGCTGAAGTACTGTATATTTATAAAGGACTTTAGTAGAGATGATCCTTAAATAGCCATTTTTGCATAGACAGTTCATGTTTTAACAGTAACACTTGTGCTTCTGGCCAGTGGGGTTTGTGAATGAGTTTAAAGAGTGTCTAAGGGGGAGGGGAAGCACTCAGGAATTTTGACTTGCATTGTTTTCTCGATTGACTCCTGTATTTAGGGACAGAGCAGAAGCTGGTCTTGCTTCTCTACTAGTAATACTGGAGTCTTAGCCTAATCACAGATAAATATGCTAAAGAATAGACTTCTTGTCATGAAAACAGAGAAATACTTACTAACATCTGTATTGATTCTAGCAAATGGAAATGGAGGCAGTCATCCAGTTAACTTTTATCTTGTTCACTGTTGCGATTGTACAACTCAGTCTTTTTCTTTTTTTTTTCTTTTTTTTTTTCCCTGATAACAGAAATGGTAATAGCCACAGTCTTAATTCATCATTGTGCAGGATGATTACGGTATCTTTAACCCTGAGTGTCTGTCGTTATTCACGCTGAATAAATAAGTTAATGTGTTTATTTTGAAGAGTTAAAATTTTGCAATTCTATTATTAAGACACAATTTAATATTGTATTAATTAACAAAGTCCCTTTAAAGTTTTATATGCAGTATTATCACTTAGCAGAAGCTTTAAAAAAGAATTACAGGGAATTTTTCCTTGTTTAGTCTGGATTATTTCTTGCTGATTTATTTTAAAGGTTTAAGGCCTCCCCTCTGCCCTGCCCAAAGGTGCATTTCAAAGTGTATTTAGTGAAGCAGCAGTTCCTTTATCTTTTTGCTGCTTGCCTTTTTTTTTAAGGCATGCAAGGGTGCTCTAAGGAAAACAAGATGACGTGCCCTGTCACCAGTGCTGGATTTAGGTCAGGTCTGTTCTCCAGGTTTTTAGTGTGGATTAGGTAGTGGGTTTCCTGTCCTGAGTGTAGTGCTTACCCTCACTGGCTATACAGGCCAAATACATTTCAAATACATTTTGCTGTCAAAATCAGCTTTTCAATGGTCTGTGTGGCCTGGGCAGGCTATTTTATTCATTTATTTACAGGGTCACCTCTATAAAATAGTGTTATCTTTACCTCAGTGACACCTTAACAGAAAGGGAAAATTGATTTCCTGCCTGGGATGGGAAAATACTAGGACCTCCTTGTAAGTCTGGCTTGAAAGCAGCCAACTCCTTATTAATAAGGACAATTACATTAAGTTAATGCATATTAAAACACACAGCAGGCTACTTTGCTGCTTGGAAAATGGTATTTACTGAAGCAGTGATTGGAGTCTCAATAGCACATTTCTAGATTTGTAGTTAACCCTTTAGAACAGATTCTTGGGTGAATGAATAAATTTTTATAGCCTTCCATCGTAGGTTTGTATTATATAAATTAAACTATATGTAAGTATAGTTGAAAGCTCAATCCTCCAGTCTGTTTGATTCTGTTGGCGGCAGCAGCGGTGAATGCAGCAGGATCTGACTTGGCAGTTATTGCACAAATTCATGTAAATCAGGAAACTTTTTAAGAATTGCTCTGTCTTTTAAAAGTGTGTGGCATAAAGTAAGACAGCCCTTTCTTCTCTTCTTTTTGTCCTTATTTTAATCTGTGACGATGTTTAAATGTTGGGGATTAGATGTAAATAACAAATATATTTATAGGCTTTTTGAGAACTGGAATAGAAAGTTCCAAAAATAACAACAAAGTCTATGGCAGAACTTGCTTCCCAGATATCCTCTAAAACAAGCACTCTTTCATAATTATGCATTTGTGTCATAAATCAGGTAATCTTTTTATATACATGTTATATTAAATGATTGAATGGCAGTATTGTTTACTCTGGAATTAGAGGAAAACTGGTATGTGTAATGTTGAGGCATTTGACAAAATGGACCATCTTTTTCTTTGTCTTTCCAGTGTTTGTTAAAACTGTGGTTTTCTGTTTTTTAAGTTTTTAAAACTGTTGTAAACTGAAAATACAATGAAGTAACATTCTTAAACTCTCTTTTTTTTCCTTGTCTGGTTGAATGTACAGTAATTCTTGCCTGTGAATAAATAGGAAAATACCAGGGATTATAGAAATCTTCAGGTCTAGAAAACAAGCAGATTTAAAATTTGCTTTATTACTTAAGCAAGAAAAAACAACAGAGCTGTATTATTGATGAGGTGAAGCTTGCATTTCCTGTGTAAGGACTTCCAGGGTATCCAGCAAAGGTTTCTGACCCGGTATCCTTGCCTCCCTTTGAGTCCTGCAACAACGTATTTTTCTCCTCTGTTTTAAGTGTGTCACAGCTGGGCTCTACTGTGTGGCCCCTCTGCTTCTGTAGAAGACTTAAATCCAAGTCTCCAAGTATCAGGTCTGTGCAACCTCTTGTGGGGAACCTGCTCTGGCATGGGGGGTTGGACTGGATGATCTCCTGAGGTCCCTTCCAACCCCTACCATTCTGTGTTTCTGTGATTTTGTATTGGCTTATTTCCCTTCAGTTCTTGGCATATCTCTTCTAATTCTCTTGAAGTGTGCTCACCTGGTTTTGAAATACAGGATATTTCGGTATTTGCACTTACCTGTGGGCACTTGTTCTAAATTCAGTGTTCTAGTGTATTGCACTGTCATTAAAAATCTCTTTGCTGACCTCTTTAGCTTAATTGCTTTTTCCCCCTCCAATTCAGTAATGTAAAATTTCTGGTTTGCAGACTGATTTTTGCTACCCTGTCCTCTTCAATTACTCCCTTCTAATTGCACCAGTACAGCATTCAGTTTCTCTTGCAGTTGTTGCCCCTATCTTATCTGTCCATCACTGTCTGTAGCAAAGGAAATCGGCTTAAAACACAGGTGGCTTTTCAACTGGTTGTCCAGCTTATGTGGCCCTCTGATCCATAACCAGTCATACCTATGACCTAGTTCTATGATAACAAAACATTTGCTAGCCTTGGCAGATAGTTTTGGAGCAAGAGTGAAATCTGGAATAAATCAACATGGTGTTGAATGCAAAAGCAATTTACTGGCCTTAGGCAGTTGTGGGCCTTTCTTTAAAGCAAATTCATTTTTTTGTCACATTTTCATATGTTACCCTTTAACCAAATGTTTCAATGTGCTAGTTAATTTTCCCTTCTGTAGCTCTCTAAATGCAGATCTTGCCTTCTATCTAAAGAAAAAATAACTGATGCTATTTTTAGAAGTTTTGCCTTTGGTTAACCAAGTTTTCAGTTTACTTTCTTTTCCTTATGTTCTTTGAGATACTTATTTTGACTTGAAGTGCAACTGTGGCTTTTTCCTCTCAATATTTTTTCTTTGTCTCTTCAATAGAAGCAGTATGATTTTTCTAGTCTTCTGGTCATGGTGATGTACCTGTAACATAGCTTAGAAACACCTCTTTCATACACTGATTTAATTTTTGCACTCCACTTTATTCAAGTTCACCTTCTTTCTGTTTTGCTATGTGATACACTTTATCATTGCAAACCACCTTTTGACCTTGTTTAGTTCTTCCTCTTCTTTCCCCCTCCCCCACCCAATTATGACGTTTACCATCCCCGATGCTCCCTTTTATTCTGAACCTTGAAGGGAATATGCCAACATCCATACTTTTCCAAAGTGAAGTTTGTCAGCCCAGGTCTATATATGGCTTGATGTGAGCTACTCCAAGAACTATTTTATGTCCTGTGATGTGTGTCAAAATGTTGTCTAAACAGTCATCCTGAAATATAAAATATATACATATTTAAATTCTTTATAAAAACTCCTCTTGAACCAACTTCTTAAGGAAAGTTGGTTTCTAAGCCTGAGAAGGTATGAAATCACTAGGATTCATTAGTCATTCATTAGCACCTTAGGGGGAACCTTGGATCACTAATTGGAAAGCAGATAAAAGGGACATTTCTGAAAAGATAATCCAAACACTATGAAGATTTCTGTAGGTTCTACTACTTACTCTGCTGTACAGTGGAAGCACTTTCTGTGTTAAATACTTTATTTGAACAGTGATGCTTTGGTATGAGGATGTCACTGTGTGAAGTTGTTACATTTATGGAGTTGTGTTGCTTAAAAGTTTCCTCCAGTTTTTCTGTTCATTATGTGTTTTATATAATGTGCCAAAATGTAATTTCTATGATTGCTGAATCAATGAATGGAAAATCTCACTGTGGTTTATTAACTATTAGTGAAGAAGGACTTAAAGTTTTATGTACAGTTAAATTTTTTTCAAAATGAAGTTTGAATGTCTTGTTAAATAAACTGTATTTTTAAATAATCCTGTTGTTCTGAGCTTGATGTGTGTTAGCAATAGGGAGCTTATGTCAGTCTGGATAATTTTAAGACCTTTGTATGAGTAAAGTTTGCTCTTAACCTGTGAGCTTGTTAATGTCAGGATTAAAACTACACACTCAAAATATTTTTCTTCTTGTCCTAAAGTGGTAGTATTCAATATTTATTAATCCAAGCATGACCTTGTCTCTTTGAGAAGAAATCCCAGGATCACTTGGGCAGCATTTTTGTGATGGTTTTCACATACAACCAGTAACTGTTAGGTTGTAACTGCAATGCTTACCATCAGGTCTTCAGAGTTGTCAGTAGAGCAACCCTGTA